TATCTTCGGGAGCACTACCCGATAATTTAGTACTATTCGTCACGGCGCCACTGCAGCGGGCCGAAGCAGCAGGTGGTTCTGACGCCAACCTTGGAGATGTGGATCTCTCTGGCAGAGACAATTGCTGCAGTTTCACAGACGCGAGTGCAAACGGTGTCGATACATCCTTACCCCACCGTGTACCTCCTTCATCCAATTGAGGGGGAAGCCTTGTGCCTACACCGTTGAGAATATGTGTTGTGGCAAATGGATCCACGCTTCCATGTGACCCCTTTTTCCCCTGGCGCGAGGAAAACGGGGTGGGCTCCAATACATTTTTGTGTTGGTCAAACAGAGCGGGGGGAACAGGTGGGACCGGCGACAAACGTTGGCTACTGTTGCCGTTCAGGGCAAATTGTATTGGGCGTACACCCAATTTCGCGCCTCCGCTACCAGGCGGATGTGGCCGATGCAGCATGGTATCCCCGCCACTTCCAGCTCCCCCACCTTGAATTGCCGGAACACGGGTTGATGGTGGTCCTGAAAATGCTTTTCGTGTGGCGCCGTTTGCGGTGCGGTCCACACTCGCTAGACTCGAACCACCGAGAACGGCCGCAACATTATCGCTTGAATTACGCTTCAAATCAATTTTTGACTGCATGCGTCGCCCTACGATAGAACGACCGCCACTTCCACTATGCAGCGCCCCACCACTAGTGGGAATGGTAGGCTCCTCATGTCCAAAGATGTTATTGCTATTGCCATTGCCATTGCTGCTATTTCTAGGACTTGATTCGCCTGTTTTACCCTGTGCAACGCTCCCTAAAAAGAGCGAATTGGTGGTCTGGTAGGGCAATGCACCACCACGTTGCGAGCCGTACAGAAAAGGATTTCCACTGCTACATCGGGTGTTGTTGCGGAGTGGGACGGTCTTGGGAACAGTCGGAATGGAACCTTGCGAGGTCTCATTCCCTGTCCCCACATCACCCTTGCGCAAGGCAGGGTTTTTTGCCGTGCCTTTGGAAGAAGAAAGTGGTGGTTTTCTAACTGACATGAACATCATATACAGTCTTCCTCAGGAGACTAATGAAAACCACCACCACCACCACCACCACCACCACCGCAGCGCGCGCCCACAGGCACAGGCACAAGCGAATATATATAAATATTCTTTCTTCGCCTACTTCCTCCACCCTCCCCGCCTCCCGGTCAAACAATCCTAACAATCTTCCGATCCTCTTCCTATAATTTAATCTCCTTTGTTTTTTATTTTTTTTATTTTTTTAAATTTCTTCTACCTTTGCTCCTCCTTGGGTTGAACGTGCGTGTGTGTAATATGCGTTCAGAATCAGAGAGAGAGGGACCAAGAGAGAGAGGGACCAAGGGAGAAAGAGAACGTGAGTATGCGTGTGCATGTCGTGGCCATTTGCATCCCAAAATTTCATTCTTTACAAAAAAACAAAGCAAAAAAAAACAAAAAAAAGCAGAACAGGCGTTTTCGCCTCCTCCCATTCCCATTCCACCCATCATGTACCTTAAACACACACACACACACACACACACACAAACACACACACACGGGTGCGTCTCGCCACCAAGTCAGCTGGCAAACACGGGAGAGGCCTTCTACCCCCCAACAACCCCAAATGACGACAAGAACCGCCCATAACAAAATACAATTATGGGGATAAAGATTTATAGACGGGCAAACAAACGAACAAAAAAGGCTCCCCACATAAACCAACGCATGTTTTCAGGATTCAGCGTGTATAGAAGAAAAGTATCAAACTGCGTCCCGCGACACATCATGTGGGCGTCCACTTAGGAGAAATGAACACGCATACATAAGTGCACATATTCCCCAGGCCTTTACTTTTTCCTTTTTTATTGCTTCGATCGCTGCTTTCCGCTCCTCCCGCGTCATGTGTCGTTGGCGTTGCTTCTCTGACGCCGTCCCTTCCCAAATTCTCTCTCAACTTTGGGCAGCACCTCCGTCCGCTTCGGGGCACCAATCACGCCGTGGACCATCAATTCCCTGCGGAAGACAACCCCAAGTGCCACGAGGGCCACACACGAAAAGAACAAATCCCGCTTGTACATCTGAAACAAGTTGGCGACCCGTTTCTTAAAAGGCGTGGTGTTGTTTTTCGCAAACCGAGGCGGCATTCTCCTCTCGGTGGATGGTCTCCGCTTTCCCTACTTCCAATGAGCCAATCCCGCCAGGTCAAGGGAAAAAGAATACACGATAAAAAAAAAAAAAAAAAAAAGAAAGAAAGAAAAAGAAGATAAAAATAATAAATAAATAAGAAAATATATGATGGTTGCCACCAAATCGCATCTGTGAGCGCGTCACACATTCCCTCACTCTTCACTTGCCAATGAATTGTCTTCTCCCCTTTGTTATGATCAAAGAGAGTAAGGAGGAAACATGGGCAAATACGACACAGAGGGGTGTGGCATGTCAGTCTTCTCTGCGGTTATTTGCTTGCAGCATTTATTAATGAGTTCAGTCAACATGATATGAGAATCATCATTCGTTCGTGTTGGTGTTTGTGTCTGTGAGAGAGAGAGAGAGAAAGAGAGAAGAGAACCCGGTTTTAATGATCTTCGAGTGGGGTAACGCCGCAGCCGCTCATGAGAGGAGCCCATCTGCAGCTGACTGCCCAATCGTGCCTGAAGCATACAGCATGGCGTCATGTGTGTATGGTTGCTATTCAGCCTTCAAACAGCAAAGAACCCCCCCCCCCCCAAAAAAAAAGAAAAAAAAGAAAAAAAGAAGTTTTTCTTCTTTTTTCGCATAAATCGGGGAAAAAATAACAAGTACATGAGAAAAAAAAATAAAAGAAACACGGCAAAACAAATTCGTATAGTTCACTCCAGTGTACACCTGTGTTCTGGTGGTTCAGGGGAGAGCAATCGCCCCTTCGGGTTAAACGTTGCGCCCATAAAAAAAAAAAAAAAGAGTAGGAGGATGATGCTGCAGCGTGGCATGCATGGCGTTGCATCATCCCTACTGCTTCTTCCTTAATCCTCATGGGGATGATCAATCGTCTGATTTGTTTTCCGTTTTCGTTTAAACAAGCGCCAGTGAATCGAGGGCGGCGACACCCGCCATGACACCGCCATCATCCACGTCTGCAGGCTTTGAGCGCACCACGTAGCCGGCACAGGCGTTCTGCAGCAAACAACCACCCGCGTCGGAGAGAATCACGCCATAGATGCCAAGCTCAGAGCAAATGTTCTTCTCAAGCTGCACAACTTTTCCATTTACGAGGAAAGCGCCGGAACGCACAGGGAATTCGATGCGGGACATCAAAATATACTCCCGCCTGACTCTGTTGTACAGCAACGGGTCCGTAAGTTCTTTTTTTCGCAGCACTTCCTGCATGGCCTGACCGGCGATAAGATTACCTCCGCCCTCCAGCTGCGGTTTCAGCACATAACGTGCTGGATGTTGCAGCGCATCATCTATAACGCGTTGCACCGCATCCTCACCCACCTCCGCAGGGTTAAGAGAGTACTGTGGCACAAAGTGAGTCTGCAGCTGAAGTGCTCTTACTGCGTCACCACAAAACGCTATGGGTGTGAGAACATTACCCACATCACAGAAGAGTTGTTGGAATTTCTTAAACGTAAGGAGATGGTATGGAATACTCGGACACTTGATGGCACTACTCTGCTCCACCGCAAGTCGTGTATCCCATGACGCCTTCGTCGGAAAGTCTGCCGGCACGTATGTGCTGCGAAAGTAGGCCACAGCAACAGGGTAACGTTCATCCACAATAGCCAGTGGCGGTCCGTTGGGCACAGGATGCAGCTTCATACTCACCTGCAGCTCCCTCAGTGTTCGCCGTAACGAGGGGATTCCATGTGACTCAAGTAACTCAAATATCAACGCAAATTGATCGGCTGTGTTTCGCTCGTTTTCCTGAATAATGAAAAGTACGATGGGTTCTAATAACCGACAGTGTTGCTGCTCCTTTCCGTAGGCGTCACGAAAGGCTTCAAAGTCCTGCTGGCTTGACCACGCTGCCACTGCCGCCGCAAGAGCTTCTGGAACAATCTTCGCTGCTGTGCTCCGCTCCAACACCCCAGCGTTGTCAAGGTTGGGCCTGGCATCATTATTTTCGTGGCCATCGGCGGTGTTCTTGGCGCTGCCACCACCCAATGCGCGTTGGTACATAGCGATCTGCCGGTGAAAATCGCTGACAAGCGGAGAGAGGCCGGCAAAGGAGGAGCTGATGGTGTTGATCTCCACATTCTTCCACGCCGCCGCGTCCTCTTCCATCGTTTCCGCTACTGTCGATGCTGCTGCTGCTGCTGCACCGTCACGCATGTAGTCCGTGCGGAATATGCCAAGCATGAGGGGCTGATAGGGGGAGGTGCCAAGATATACATCCCTCAGTATTTTCACAAGTTTCCCCGTAAATTCCGTGTCACTGGCCGCCGTCTCACGCAGCGCATCTAACAGAAATTGAAAATTCCTTGCCGTGTTATTTACTGCCTCGTTCCACAGCAGCTGGCGACGGCAAAGCACATCAAATTCGCCACGGCGCATCGTCGTCGGCTGCAGCGTCACTGCAAGATGTGTGGTTGCATCCTCATGCCCTGCCATCTGTATTGTGAGTCCCAACATCATGCACTTCGCCACAAGTTGTTCAGCGTCCCCCAAGAGTTCCATGGTCGCCAATCTCTTCCCGTGTGTAGGTGAATGTGAGTGAGTATGTATTATTAACAGGAATTTATATATGTTTGCTTGTCTCTCTCTCTCTCTGCGTGTGTGTGTGTGTGTGTGTGTGTGTGTGTGTGTGTATGTGCTTTTATTAAAATATATGAATTTAAATATCTGATGCACTGCAATTATTCTGCTCTACAGACATACACAGAGGCAAAGCAAGCAAAAAGAAAATGAGAGTCATTTCAACACACATGTATACAAACAAGGAAGCGGTCATGGCAAGACATAATCCTTTCGCTTTCTCTCCGTGTACTCCTTATTAATAATAATAATAATGATGATGATCATGTGTAAATGTGGCCGCATATAAAAATATAATAATAATAATAATGGTAGAGATGTGTTAGACATTCTGAGAGAAACACCGCAATCCCCCCTCCCTCCCTCCCTCCAACGACAACAACAAATTGACAACAAATCGACAGTGTATTAGTCCCATGCATTCAATCACAACACATGCTTCCCCCTACTGCACCTACCCCCCTCCCCACAAACACACTCTTCTCCTTATTTTTATTTTTTATTTATTTACTTTTTTTTTTTGTTTGTTTGCACCCCACAACGTCATATTATCAATTCTATGGAAAACGGGAGGACCATCCTCCCCAGCCACCATCAAACTTTTCTTCTTCCTCTTCTCACTTCTTTTATTATAATCCTTTTTCCCACCATCCCCTCCTTTCTTTTCTCTCTCTCTCTCTCTCTTTTGGAGGGCTGGCCTCTCCAAAAGGACGAAAACAAATCACACGTCCCATGGACCCACCCATTGCACGCACAGATGCATGTATCTATGTATGTATGTATGTATGTATGTGTGTGTGTGTGTGTGTGTGTGGAGTCCTACACGCTTGGTATATACACAAAAATCCACAGGGAATATAGATGTACCTTCTTCCTGACTCCAATTCCCCTCTCTTTCTTTCCCTGTATATATATACCGGTGCACGACGCATACGTGTATCACGGTCAGCAAAATAACCACACATAACGAAAAAAAAATAATAATAATAATAAAAAACAACAACAACAAATAAACAAATCAAAAGAATACAGATGCAGATTCTACAAATTCATTCATTTTGAGAATTCTCCCAATGAAGGTCCAATATGAACATCCGCGTTAAATGGGACATCCAGCTTCACATCGGGCCAAAGGCTGCTCATCACCTTTGATGTGGAAGACATAATCTCCGATACATCATGCATAACCTCATCGGCGACAGATGAATGGGCATCAATCCACACACAGTCATGGACGGTGTTTACCAAAAACGCCCTTCCATCATAGTTCCGCTTCTCGTAGAAACGACGCACAATCTTGCCACACATGATCTGCACAATCTCTCCCGCTAGTCCCTGTACTGGGTAATTCTTCAGTCGTGGAATGCTCTTCTTGTCCTTTGCAAAATCAAACTTACTGCCTGTAGGTACAACAAAGTAATGCAGAGGCTCCGTTAGCAGAATCATGCGCCGCATGGCGGGTGACCATGTTGCAGCATCCAATGTACGCAGTCGTAGTAGCCGATCCGCACCCGCCTCAACGCAGTCCATAACCAGGCGGTAGTAACGACTCAGATCCTTGTAGTGTTGCTCCTCTGCCGATATGAGTCGTTCCACCTCATGTTCCGTCAATCCGGTAGTGGTGGCAATGGTGGCAATGCCCGCACCGTACTGTCGCTGAAAGGAGAATGTTTTGGCCTGTTGTCGAAGCTGAATGTAGTGTGGGTCCCTCTCTTGCTTTGCCTTTCGCACAACATTCTCATATGGTTCTTTTGTCATGAGTGAAACACGCAAACAATGAAAATCCACCTTGTCGTGTAGTTCCTGCAGCATACGAGTGTCACGACTAAGTGCCGCCAGCACCACCACTTCCAACTGACTGTAATCCGCCTCAATCATCCGTCCCTCACGTCTACCAAATCGGGAGACGATAAGTCGCCGTAAATCCTCTTCTCTCGGGATGTTTTGTAGGTTTGGGGACTGTGAAGACAAACGACCGGTTGCGGTGACTGTGTGGCACAACTCCCCATGGACACGGTCTTTGCACTCCGGCAGCACCGCGCGGAACAAGGCACCTTCCTCAAAGAGTTGCATCTTCTTCTCCGTGAAACGAAGTTGCTGCAGCGCCTTGAAGAAGGAAAGGTCAATCTGCTTGTCGGATGAAAGGAGAACGGTGATGCGTTCGATGGCGTCAGCCCCAGATGAGGCGTTGCGACCACGCAGGGAACGATGCAAAAGCGGATGAAGTTCTTCTGGGGTCACAATCCACAGCAGCCCACGTGTGGAAGCCCGTTCTTGCCCGTGAAGCCCACGAAGTTCGGCCCCCAATGAAAGTGGAAGCGGATGCGTATTGCGGAATGGGTCTCGGCTAGTGCCTAAAAGCGACGCACAGTGAGACACCAACGCCTTCAATGCCCCGTCGAATCCACCCACGGAGACAAACTCCCGTGCGAGGGCCTCCCAATTCCCTCGGGCAGACAGGCCCGCATTTTCAGCTACGTCCACGAGACCCAAGAAGTCGCTCTCAAAACTATCCGCGCCCTGTGGTGGCGGTGGCAATGCTCGCTGCAGATCACAAAAACATACACGCTCAAGAGGAGATTCATCCGCGCCATTTGGCCCCAAAACCGTCTCGGCAATTGTCTGCACAATACCAGTATCGACCAAAGAGGAAAGTTTGTCGTGGGTGCAGTTTGTAAGAATGAGCAGATTGCGAAGATCATAACTCTTCTTGCCGTGTTTTTTGAAGGATTGAAGCGCACGCAGTGGCCTATATTTGGCAATCTTTTCTTTCAACTGCATCACGGTGAGCATTTCTGGTTCGTCAGTTACTGGCACAACATCATCAATGGCAACGCTGTACTTCAGTTCATCGTTGGGTTCAGTGCTAGGGCAATGTAAAAAAAACATCTCAAGGAAGTTACCAGGACGTACTTTACACGTAACCACCACCACAGCAGTGCAATGAAGTAGATTCTCTAAAGTATTACGTGTCGTGTACCCTTCAATCGCCTCCAATGCAGTCTTGACTTTACTCTCTTTGATGGTGATCTTGCCCCGCCGGGACCCACTATTGCTACCGGGTCCCTTGGGTGCTAAGAGGCTTTCAGGTTGCGTGTATGCTACTGGAATAGGCGTCCCTGTCACACGGCAGACGGCATGAGGAAAAAGTGCCGTTACGGGTGTTTTTGCAGTCTCAACTGGCACGTACCTGGCGCCCAAATGGCGACAAAGCGCCCCACCGTAGATGATTGTGCTAATGTCTTGCGGGGAGCGGAAATTTATCCTTTTCCGCACCTCATCGTCCATACCTCTGGTGAACTCCATAATTTTATCATTCACGAGCTTTTCCAACTTCTCATGTGACGTTTTTAAGTGATGGGAAAATTTAGTCACTTCCTCTTGCGAAGATATTTGTAACCCACGAAGTTCCATTTCTGTTGCGGCTAAGAGGCCATCCATACGGTGTAAAACGGAGATCAACTGACGTGTGCTCACGGCAATATCAAGTTGCTTCTCAAAAATAATTTTGAGCTTCTCCAGTGAATCCAGTTTGCCCTGTCCCATGTGGTATTGCAGGAGGGTGCGTTCCATGGTTGCCAGGTTGTCGTGATTAAACCCCTTCAAGAGATACTGTGCGTATTGGGCACACCAAATACGACCTCCATTATGAAGAAATTGCTGCAGCCTCCTGCTCCCACGCAAAAACAGCAGCGCCCGCTTCACGTCCCACGCAACAATGATGGCGTTCGAGGCGAGGGGCTGATCCTTCCGTGTCGTATCGCGGCTGGTCGGAAGTTCTTCAGGAATACAATTCTCGGGCTCGACAAACGCCTTCACATCACCGTTTGCCATCATTTTCGCCGCAATTTTCTTCACCGGCGGTGGAGTTTTGGCTTCGTTATCGAGAGAGCGCCATAACTGCCCATGAAACTCCAGAATACCATTTCGAGCAGAAAAGGGATTATCAGCACGACGTGCTGCCATTACATTCGCGGAATTCACCTCTATAAAGAAACAACTGCAGTCACGCAGCTTGGTTCGCCACGCCTTCTCCAGCGTCAGACGTTCATTGTTGTTGAATATGGCTTTGATATGCTCCTCCAGGCGACGGTTCACCCTTCCAGGGGCCACAGCCCCGCCACCTGCTCCCGGTGTGCCATTCCCGGCTGCTAAGTTGCGTGAAGCTTGCCCAAATGCCGCCTCCAAAAAGGTGGGCATAATTTCACAGGTAACAGAGCGTCTATGTAGTGGTGTAAAGCTCCGTGCTGCCCGTGGCACCCGAAGTGAGCCGTCTTCCGTCTGCATCAGTCCCATCCATGTGTAGCGCGAAAAGAGATCCAGCGCCTGAATAAGTGTCGTTGTTAGCGTCGGTCGGTTCGGTCGTCGAAGCCCAAGTTGGTTCTCTATATCCTGAAGAAGAATTGAAACCTTTTGTTTACCCTTCCGCATGAGTGGGAATTGCGCAAACGACTCCGCCGCAGTGCCGGAGCCAATGATATAAATGACACTCTTCTCCCCAAGAAGTAGCGGCTCCACAAATTCACCTGTTAAAAGGTCCTGCATGGGCGGCACAACGCTTCCTGCTCCGGATGCACTCACCAGAGGGGCAGAAACAAAAACAAGCATCCAAGACTCTTTCTTCCGCAATATACCGTTACTAGACCCGCGCGATGATGATGATGAAACACCACGCTTACCAGGCTTCTGTAGCGCCGTTGCTGCTGCTGCTAGCTGCGCATGAAGTAGTTGCTTGTTGAGTAGTGGCTGACCAGACTGTGCCCGAAATTGAAAGGCAGCTATCAAAATCTCCATGGGCGAGGAAGATCCCGGTGAATGGATAAAATTCCGCCAGTCCTCTGCATACGCGTTCAGTACGGCGCTAGTGAGCAGTTCCGTATTTATGTTCTCATCTCGTTTAGCCTTGCACAGTGTCTCCCTGAGTTTGCAGTAGGAGATGAAGATGTGGTCTGGTTCCTCAAACGCCTTTTCTCCCCCTGCCTCTGAGACAACCGCGCGACCGGTTAAATTGTACAGCACGGCATTTTCCAACAGCACCGCGTTGGCGGACGATAACGTTGGCACAAAAAGCAGCACCCATGAGGCGCAAAATTGACGCACCCACGGCACGTAGACAGACCGCACCTCATCCAACCGACACTGTAGCGTCGTCCCAGAGGCAATGTCTTCAAACGCAATTGCAAAGTTGACGTCTCGCTTCGTGGAAAACGTTACCGCAATAGCCCGAAATGCCTTCCCAGGCTGCTGCATGAGCGTTGCAAGGCGAAGGTTTAGAGGGGACTCAATGTCGAGGAGAGACCCAATTTCAGCAGCGGCAACATTCCCACCCTCGCGTTTCGCGGACGTAAGCGATGCGGAAACATCATGAGGGATATAGTTGTTGTTTTGGACAAAAGCCGCAGTTGAAGCTCCCTTCCGCAACGTGGCAGCGGCCGCATTAGTCGTCGTATTCGCGGTGGCGTTGGTGGTCTTAGTTCCCGTTCTCATTCTCAATGATGACTCGGCATCTTCTCCCTCCTTCGTCGCCATCGGCACCCTCCGCTGCGTCATCATCACTGATTTGCCCGTTGGTGGTGCCGAGGACTTCTGCTGCTGCTGCTGTTGTTGTTTTTTTTCTTCGTGCTGCTTCTGCTGCTGCCGTGTGGCGGCGGTCTCTGCTGCAGATGAGGCCGCGCGTGAAGACTTGGGTCGGCTGCGTCGCCGTGTTATCATCGAGGCAAACCTACGACATTCCCGGAGCACACTGCCCTCCAGCGCAAGCGACAAACACCGCCGAGTTCTCCGCTCCACCTGCAGCCCGTTTCTATCATCACGGCACTTCAACCCGGTGCCGTGGGTCGTCATGGTGGTGGTGTGACGCGCCCCCACTCCCTGCAGCAGCAGCAGCAACTGCGTGCACTGGCGCAAGGTACGCTGCATCTAACGAGGCAAAAGTAAAATAAATGAGCGAAGAAACCAACACCAGAGGGGGGGGAACAACAACAACAAAAACACACACACACACACACACAAAAAGGGATCCTAACCCCCTTTTCAAACTTGAGCAAACCGAGCTAAAGAACACTTTCAGGGGATGGAGGAGGAACAGAAAGGGCTACGTGTGTTTGTGTGTAATGTGTGACGATCCCCTGGCTAAATAAATGAGTGGATGTGTGATGCTTCCAGAGAGACCGTTTGCCCCCTTCCCACAGAAAAACGTGAAAAGACAAATTAAAAAGGAAATAATGAGAAAAAAGAGCGATATGACGGGACAGCAGCAGAAGCAACACACAAACACACAGACACACAGACAAACGAGGACACGCGACTCTCACGCACGGCCTTTCTTGGTTTTTTCGTATGTTACTTTGGGTCTTGGCTGCACCCCTCCCTCCCCTGTCCTTCTCTGCCTGATACTATTCTAATTTCCGTTTCCTTGTTGCGTCTTCTCCCTACAGGACCCACACACCCCCTTTTGATCACCGCTGTTCTTCATGGAGGGGGATTACAGAAAGAGAGAAGAGAGAGAAAAAGTAGAAAAAGTCAAATAATAATAATAATAATAATAAAAGAATTGATTCAAAGAAATACCAACTATTCCTTTGAAGCAGCCACCGTCACTGTACACCACATTCCATGCACATTCCCCATTCGATCCCTCTCTTTCCCTTTTTCTCTCTCTATATATATATATATAAATATATAAATATACCTGCGTGTGTCTCCCTATGCATATGTAACCGCATGCAAGGCTGTGTGTAGTTGTCAAATAGACTCTCCCCCTCCATACAAATAAATATCAAAGCTTAACATTATCTTCCTCTTCTTTCCGACTTCTCCTAATACAGTTCCTCCTTTTGATGCGAGTATTTCCTCTTTTTTTTTTTTTTTTTTTAGGTCTTTCTTTCTTTTGAGGATAATAATAATAACAATCGTATGTGTCTTATTCTACTTTCTCGTCAAGTGATGGAGGGCAGGGGCGGGAGCAAACGGATACAAAATAACCACACACACACACACACATACACACACATACTTACATACTTACCATACACTTACCTACACGTAAAATTAAAAACAAAAACAAAAACAAAAACAAGGTGGTGATAATAAATAAATTAGAATAAAGAAAACAAAGAAGGCAAAAAAAAAAAAAAAAAAAAAAAAAAAAAAAAGAGAGAACAAAAACACTTCTAAACGAGGATGAGGGGGAGATGGAACAAAAAACGGCCGGAGACATGTCGCAGAGAATCATAAACTTCCTGCCTCACTCTCCTTCATACGAATCATTCATTTATCGATCCTTCCATCCCCTCCCGCCGCCTCCGCCAGCTGCTGTCGCCGTTTCGCATAAGGATGGATTGTTCCCCCCAGCAAACCATGCCTCATGCACGCGACCAATGACGTGCTACATAAACAATGTGGAAGGATCCCTGCGTGAATGGGGCCCGAAGAAAAGCATCACGTGAAGTGTGAGTAGCCTGTGCCACAACGGCACGGAGTAAGCCAGAAAAACACACACACACACACAAAACATAATACTAAAGACAATAATAATAATAATAATAAAATGGTCAATTCCACCATGTAGCAGCTTTCCCCAGTAATTTCTAGTCGCACACAACACCCCTCCTTCGTTTCCGCACTTTTCTTTCTACCGTAACTAAACACCCATTACATTTCTCTCTCTCTCTCTTTTTCTCATTTCCCTTCCTCAATAATTAACAACTGTATTCGTTGAGTTCTTTTTATTATCATGATTGCAGAAGCTTTTCCAGGTTCTTCAGGCATTGCAAGAATGACCTGCTCGTTGTCTCCGACCTTGCCTGTCGCTCAAAGGCTCGCATGGCGGTGGTGAGTTTCGAGCCGAGTGCGCCGCCCTGAGCAAGTTGATCGCGCTCGGAGAGAATATCAATGGCGACGCCAACAACCACCTCCTTCTCAGCCTCCGTCGCCGCGGCCTCTATGAGTTGCAACAGAACTGAACACCACACGTCATTCGGTGCCTCTACATTTTCAATAAGTTCCGAGTATGCGTTTTCGTTTTCCCTTGTAAGTATGCTGAGGAACCGCAGGAGGAGAGAGGGCTGCTGAGCCATCAACATGTATTCCAGTCCCTGACGGTACTGCTGCTCTCGCGCCATCGATAACGCGGTTGCAAGAATTGTCTCGGGCGCAGACCTTCTTCCTTGAAAGGTGCTCGTGGCGTGAAGAGAAGAATCTGGCATTGTTGCCTTCTGCTTCGCAACGGACTCTCGCAATGTGCACAGCTCTTCCCGCATACGACGCATTTCATCCAACACCCCACTAGACATTATGGAATTCAACTCTTTCTGTAATGAGGCATTTTCCTTCACGAGAGAAGTGAGGGAGCCGTTGATGCTACCAAGCACCTCGGCAAGCTCGCGCTTCACCAGATTTTCCACCGTTTGCGTCAATTGAGCCGTAAACTGTGTAGTGCTTTCCTTCAATGCTTCATCGAGGCGACTCTTGATGATGTTCTTTTGTGTTTGCCGAAGCCGGTTCCCTATGGCGTGCCGCACCTCATGGTCGAGATGCAACATGATGGCCTCGTTCACACCACGCTTCACCCCCTTCGTGATGTTGCGAGAGAGGGAATCCGCAATGAGAACAAGGGTGTACGTCTCAAACACGGATGATTTCGCGGAGCTTGTGTCTCTCGGCTGTGTTTGCGGTGTTGGACGACTCTGCTGCAGCTCTGTCATCTGTGCCTCTAAACCCAGATTCAGAAGTTGTTCATGGTCTCTTCGAATGGTGTCAGGGAGCAACTTCAGAACCTGAGACGTGTTGGTTATGACGGACTCCAGCCGCTCCAGCGACTGATGAACCTCGCCCTCCGACTGGTATACTGCCGCCGCCAACACGCCATCCGTTGGCGCCTGCGGGAGAGAGGCGTTGTGAAGCGCCGGGCGTGTCGCATTTATCGCCACGGAGCTTGTGTCACATGCCGCGGAGGCCTTTTCTTCTCCTGTTGGTTTCGCCGCGGCTGTGGGAGACGAGGCCGCATTGGCACCACTATTAGCTGCCACCAATCCAGCCGTCACAGGTCGGCCATTGTGCCCATATGGACTTGTTCGCTGCGGGGCGGTAGTCGTGGACGTCACCGCCGTAGACCTCGTCGTGGCCGGTGCTCCAGTGCTGACGACGCTCCTTTGGGTGACATTAATCCCCAGCTGATTCACTAGATTAGCAATGATCTTGCTCCCCACGTGCGGCTCAGCGGATCGCGCCGCGGCAGGAGGCGCGGCAGCCTTCGCTGGCGCTGGACCAGGGGGTGATGCAGGGGATGCAGCAGCGGCAGAAGTCGTATTGGTATGACTGCTACTCGCCGCGTCAGTGCCCGAGGACACACACCCCGGTTTCGCCGTCGCCACTACCGATGATTTTTGGCCTGGCTGCTGTTCTTCCCTGCGGGAGGACCGGAGATGGAAGATCGTCAATCGATTCGACATGTCAGCCAGGACACAGCTGCCGTCGGCTGTACGATTGAAGCAAAAGCCGTTACGCTGTACCTGACAAGGCATCATGTAGTGTGTGCAGGTAAAGTTATGAGGGGAATGCATGTTCACCAGCGCTAGCTGCTTCCTGTCGTCAAACACGGCAAACGTTTCTCGTGAGCTTTCCATCGCGACAATAGATCCATCAATGACAAACTTGCGCAACAAGTTTGGTTCTGCTACACCCGTAAGGAGCCACTGGTACACCCCCTTTGTAGATGCGGCCACGAGAACACTGACATTTTCCTCAACGGTTGCGTCAAGGAGATGCAATGCCTTCACTGGCTCACCCTCGCAACACGCCCATGATGGAGTGCTGCGGTTTCTTAATGTGCATGCCGCTACCATTGTTGGTTCTGTGGTAAAGGTGAACCATCCGCCAGAGCCAACGGAGCATAAACTGTTCTCACTAACCGCTTGAGTCAGGGTTCGCAGAGTTGTGCAATTCCGCTGTAGTGTTGCCTCCAGTGATTCCACGTCAAAGCGCTCAATGAGGGAGGAGCTGTCAAGAATTGCCGCATGCGTTTCGTAAAGGACAAGCAGATCAGGCCGCTGACTCTCGGCGTTGATAAAGAAAGAAAAGCATGGAATTGTGACAGGATCCTGAAGCTTAAAGTACACCTTCACTGTGAGGCGGGCTGCAAGATCCGGCTTGCCGTTACTCGCCTCCGTTTCATCCGTCACAACCCACACGAAGAACTCCCCCTTCCCAGCCGATGCTGCGACGTTGCTGCGGTAATTCACAAACTTCACCGCATGAATGGGTTTTGAGTGTGCCCGCACGGTGCCCTTCAAAAGGTTCGAGCGCTTCACCACACGCAGCACGTGACGCCGCTTCATGGTGTAGGCGAGATAAAACTGCGAGTCCGCCAGCACACGTTGCGCCTCAGGCACCTCATTAAATGTCGCGGCGTCCACAGACCACACGCGGCCCTCATTGTTGCTCGCCTTCGCATGATTGAACAAATCCACCGTCACGGTCATTTCCGCGCCTTGCGTTGTTATTTCCGCACTTTCTTTTTTTTTTTTTTTTCCCCCTTTTTCCGTGTGTGTGTGTCTCGCTTTCTCCTCCCTCCCCAACACTTTTTTTTTTTTTTTCTTCTTCTTCTTCTTTGCCTATTCAAAGAACAAATAATTTAATTTAATTTAATTTAATTATTTCCTTTTTTTTTCTTCCCGCTCGATGTGTGTTGTACCGTCACGACACACTCACACCCACCCACCCACACACAAAACGGCAAGTACTTCCCCCCTTTTCCCCCTCCCCAAATGACTACTGTAAAAATAACACGCCGCAAATTGACACCACCGGAGCCAACACAAAAAGAAAACCCCCCCAAAAAAAAACAACAAAAAACAGAAATGTCAGGGGATAACTCCACACATTTGTGTACACACAGAGGGGAATAGAGAGGGGGATAGAGAGAGAGAGAGAGCAGCAGCAGCAGCAGTAGAAACGCTCTCATGCATTCATGAACACACAAAAAAGCCAAAACAAGAAACAACAAAGACAACAACAACAACAACAACAACAAGTTTCCTACATTTTCCCCCATTATTCCTTCCAACATTTTCTTTCTTTCCCCAATCCCCTCTCTTCCACCACCTTCCCCTCCTGTTTGTGTGTATATTATATATATATTGCTCGGACGCCTTGTCTTATGGCCGCAGTTGTATACCATGTGTACACAGATTAACTGAATATGAAATGAATCCTCTCCCCCTCCCTACTCCTCGTTCTCTCCCTCTCCTTATATATATATATATGTGCATGTACGCATGTACGCATGCATGCATGCAACATCACTGCGAGGCAATGGCATGTACACAACCGTACTGCGTGTACCCCCTCCGCCCCCTTCTCTCTCTCTTTTCTCCGCAAAAATAAATAAAAGGGTGGAAACACGTGCACACACACACACACAAAAAAAAAAAAAAAAAAAAAAAAAAAAGGGAAACAGGACAAATCTGACGCCTCCCATCCACCCAGCAACGTTCAAAATGTACGAATGAGCACACGACAACACCCACACAGAGAGAGAGAGGGAGACTGAGGGAAAGAGAAGGAGAATGCAAAAAACAACAAAAACAAAAACAAGAAAAAAAGGGGGATGGGAGGCGTCAGGAGCTCTAACAGGGTATAGATAAATACCTAACAAATATTTGTACATACATACATACATACATGTTATATATATATGTACGATTCGCAATAGCAGCATCAGCAATAATAACAAGCAAGAATTCTATTAGGACGTAATTTCCCCTCAGGCACACACACACACACACACACACGCCTTCATTCATTCGTTGAACTTCTCCCCTCCTATCCCTCCCTTACAAAACAAACAAAAGCAGATTTTTTTATTTTTTATTTTTTATTTTTTATTTTTCCCCTGTTCCCATCACTTCTTTTTCTTCTTGTATATATATATATATATATATATCTACACACATGTACATGCGTGCTATGTGTGTTGCATTTTACTCATTACATACATGTAAGTTTAAACGTTCACAATTTTATATACATAAAACGTATAAATAAATAAATAAATAAATAAATAAATATAAATATAAATATATTTGTATCTTTCTGCATGCATCCTCAACGTGATTCCCCACGTCACGTTTTATATATAATATATAAAATTATATATAAAATTATAAACATGCCGCAACAGATATTCTCTTCATTCTTTTCATTCATTCATTCATTTCCTTCCCTTTTTATTATGTAAATATTTGTATATTACGGGAAGAAAGAAAATAGGGAAGGTGGCAAACTATCAAATGTGCAATTAAAAATAACGAAAACAAAATAACAACAACAACAACAAAAGAGGGTTGTGTACCGTCATGGTGGTGGTGGTGGTGACATTGCATCACACCACACTCGGAATCCAACAGCAAAAAGAAAAGGAAAAGAAAAGAAAACATAATACGCGCCCTCCCCCCCTCCCCTCCGCCTCTTTTCTCTCCCGACACCTCATTTGTTCGTAAACAGCACGCATGCGTCTATATATATGTGTATGTATAGATAGATAGATAAATATATTTCACATGCTGTTTATTTCTGATTCCCCGTCGTTTGTGGTTTAATCCTCCTTTTCCCCGTCTTTCCGCGTAGCAGCTGCGCCATTTCTTCCCTTTTTTTTTTTTCCTCCTCCTCATTCCTCCAGTCATCACCGCCACCACACACACACACACTCTCTCTCTCCCTCGTCGTTGCCCCTTCACTCCACAGCCCGCCTCGTCACAGATAAGTTGGACAACACAACCATAACTCAGAGAGGGAGCAGCGGGAGGGGGAGGGGGAGGGGGAGAGAGAACAGCAAAAAACAAAACAAACAACAAAAGGAGCGACGAATATCTGCGACTGTGAGGTGGGGACGACAATAGACAGAGACCGCAAGACACTCAAATACACATTTTTTTTGTATACATCACACATTCATCGAGCCAAATAAAAAAAAAAAAAAAAAAAAAAAAAAAAAAAAAAACCACCATGACACACAAACATAAACGCATATAAACACACAAATATGTATTTACGTTGCCAACATGTATGAATGTACATGAGGATCGAAAATACAAGGGGAATTCTGCGAGAGAAGGTGAGAGATGGTGAGAACAGTGAAGAGTGGGGTGCTGCCTGCAATCATACATGTGCCATCGTTGCCCCTCCATATCTACATACAAATATATGGAGGAAGATGGAGGAGATGAGTCATTTCACTTCATTACTGCGCCCCCGCCTGCTCCCCACTTCTCCTTCTGCCCCCCCACCCCTGTCGTCGTCACATTTCCAATACATGCAAAGAAGGGGGTGGGGGGCGGAAGGAGAAGTGGGGAGAATAAAAGGGAAGAGGCGTATGCGTGTGTGCATTTGTGTGTGTGTGTGTGAAGGGGAAAGAAAAGCAAAACAAAAAAAAAAAAAAAAAAGAAGGAAAATCAAATTACAATCATCACATCAATAAAAATAAACACCAAAACCAACACCGACACCGACACCAACACTAGCATCAAAATCAACATCAACATCAAACAAAAAAAAGGAGCTTCGTGACTGGCGGGGGGAAAGGGGGCACCGCGCATAAATGAAAAGGTAAGGGCGTTGAAGTAACAATACGTGTGTGTGCACAAGGGACGCACAGGCTACAGCTGTATGAACCAAACCAAACCATGCATGCACGCACATGTACACAAATCGACCGTAAAATGCGTCCCGACACACGCGTCAATGCCACTCCAATCGTCCCCCCACTTTCTCTCTCTCTCTCTCTCCCACTGCGGCTGCCGCCACACGTCCGCTCGAGAGAATCGCAAATTAAAAAAAAAAAAAAAAGAGGAAAAAACAAAACAAAAACAAAACAAAAACAAAAAAAAAAAAAAAGGAAGTGAGACAACACAAAAACCACCAAACCACCAAACCAACAACAACAACAAAAACAACAACAAAAGAAGAAGAAGAAAAGAAAAGAAGAAAAGAAGGAATATGAAAAAAATGACGGGTGAAAAGCAAAACAAACGCAATAAAAAAAAAAAAAAAAAAACAAACAAACAAAAAAACGTACAAAAAAACAAAACAAAACAAAAAAGGAAGTCAACAAGACGTGAGTGCACGGAAGCAACAAATTGAAAACGATGGAATAAACAAACAAACAAACAACAAAAAAAAAAAAAGAAAAAAAAAAAAAAAGGAACCTTCCCTCCTCTTCCCTCCTTTCCCCCCCGCTATCATCACATGCGTCAAGAGACCTCACAAGGTGAACCACACACACACACACACAGAGAGAGAGAGAGAGAAAGAAAGAAAGAAACACACAAGTACCGCTCACTCACTTTACGGTTCCATCATTATTATTTTTTATTCATTTTTTTTAATTTCTTTTTTCCCTCTTTTCTTTTCTTTTCTGCGTGTGGTGTGTGTG